AATATGTACTACAATGTGCTTCATTCAGAATCAATTTTCTCAAGTCTACATTATTAGGCACACAAATTCTATCCCTATATACCATAAATCCATCATTATTAAAACTTAAGTCTCTAGATAGATTCGATTCAACTTCTTCTTGGATCCTAAGAAGATATTCATCTTCTTGCTATGCCATCCTCAACTCTTTCTAGAAATTACTATTAATCATAGGTAGCAACTAGAGCTTTCAATGGTGCCTCTTGTTGATAATCTATAAAAGACTCCATTAAGCTGTGCTCCTGCACCATCGAACTATCCACATATAGCGTCTTCCTACTTAGTGCATCAACTACTACATTAGTTTCCCTAGATGGTATTTCAACTCAAAGTTATAATCCTTGAGTAATTCCATCCACCTTCTTTGCTTCTTGTTTAATTTTTTCTTATCCACAAGATACTTTAAGCTCTTATGGTCACTATACATACTAAACACTGAACCATACAGGTAATCATGCCAAATTTTTTGCGCAAAGACCACTATTGCAAGTTCTAGATCATGAGCTAGATAATTTTCTTCATGCAGTCTCAATTGCCTTAATACATAGGCTACTACTTATTCATCTTACATCAACACACAACCTAAAACTTTTAGAGAAGCATTCGTGTACATCTCGTAAGGAAGTCTCAGATATGAAATTATCAATATCAGTACCGTCATCAACTTCTCTTTCAACTTCTGAAATGCAATCTCACACCTGTCATCCTAAATAAAAGGTTGATCTTTATTGGTCAATCTTGTCAATGGAGAGGCAATTTGAGAGAAACATTGGATAAACTGAGCTAGGTTGCTTCCAGTTCAACACAACATCAACTTTATGAGGATCAACAAAAATCCCTTCTACTAACACCACATGACTTAGAAACCTGACTTCTCTTAACTAAAACTCACACTTACTGAGCTTAGCATATAATTTATTCTCTTTTAAAATTAGAGAACAATCTGGCAATGATTGGCATGCTATTCCTCATCTTCAGAATAAACCAAAATGTTGTCAATGAAAACGACAACAAACTGATCTAAATATGGCTTGAAGATACGGTTCATGTAATTCATGAATACCATAGGTGCATTAGTCAGACTAAATGGCATGACAAGGAACTCATAGTGCCCATAACATGTCCTAAAGGCTGTCTTGGGTATATCTTTCTCAGAGACCCTTAACTAATGATATCCTAGTTCAAAAGATTGAGGCTCTAACTAACTAATCTAACAAATTGTCAATCCTAGGTAAAGGGTATTTATTCTTCACCATTACCTTATTCAATTGTTGGTAGTCAATACACAACCTTAAGCTACCATCTTCCTTACAAACAATACCGGTGATCTGCAAGGCAATACATTTGGTCTAATGAACCCCTTATCAAGATAATCTTCAATTCTTTTCTTCAATTCATTCAACTTTAAGGAAGACATTCGATATGGAGCTTTAGAAATTAGTTTAGTAACAGGAACTAAATCTATAGAGAATTCATCTTCCCTTTTCGGAGGCAATCCATACATTTCTTTTGAAAATACCTTAAGAAATTCACTCACTATTCCAATCATCTCAATACCCCCATCATACACACTGCTGACTGCAAATATCACCATATAAGCACAACATCCCTGCTTGATCAACTTCTCAGCTTGTATAACTAAAAGAAATCTGGCTTACTTAGTAGAACTAGTTCTTACCGCCAACACGGGCAAAGACACTAGCTTCCTGACACAATCTAGCATAACATTATTAGCTACTAACCAATCTATGCCAACATTTACATCAATCCCTTTCATGGGAATATAGATCAAATCGATCATGGATACTCGATCTTCACACAAAACTTCTACTTCTTGACAAACCTTACTAGTAATACTCGAGGATCTTGAAGGTTTAGTCACTTTGATCAATACAGGAAACTCTCTCAATTATAGTTTCAATCTATCTATACATTCTTTTAAGATGAAAGAATGTGTGGCTCCAGAGTCAAATAATGCTTCAATTCTATTACCACAGATAGAGATTATACCTTTAATTAAGTTCAGAGGTACCCTAGCTTCTTCTTGTGTCACGATAAAGACTTGTCCTGGAATCATTGACTGTTGCTCTATCACCTCAATTCCTCTCTCGAGACAATATGTTGTAATGTGGCCTAACTTTCCATACTTAAAACAAGACCAATACTTGCTCGCATGAAATCTGTCGCAGATACTACACTGAGGTGATTTGCTAGTGCTAAAAGTAGGAGTTGGTGTATTTGAAGCTTGCCTTGAAGGTAATGGAGGCCCAATTCTAACCCTAGTACTACACTGTATTTAACCTCTCTGAATAGTCTGGGTTTGAGAACTTCTAGTAAAACTTCTCTTCCTAAAAGCTCCACGAATTGCTTAAGCTATAAATGGGCATCTTCAAAACACTACCTAATATACCTAGAAAAGATATAAGCCTTCCCATACTGTCTCTCTTCTTCTTAATCTCAGCTTCTCTGCCTCTTCTCACAACTATTCTCAACTCTTCATAAGTGGTAATATCAAACAAAGCAATCTGCTATCGATATTCTGGACGCATCTTCTCTAACAACCTATTAGCTTTCCACTTCACATTATTGTGGTATTGTAAATATGTCAAATAGACTGACAAATCATTAACTCTTTTGTCAACACTTCCTCATCTAAGTCCCTTTATTTGAATGAGTAGAACTCCTCTTCCTTTTTGGTAGAAAAAGACACTGAGATGTAGTAATCAAAGAATACCCTCCTGAATTCTTCTCAAGAATACCTTACACCGCTAGACGGTCTCATTAAATCCTACCATCTCCTAACTACTCCAACTAGCTATACTGTAGCTCATGTAAGTCACTACCTCAAATATGGTTTCGAGGCGCTCAATCTACTCCTCAGCTTCACCCTCTTTCATGTTACAAACAAAGGTTGATGGACTGAACCTCACAAAAGTCTTTCAGGCTCAGTCAATGGATGGATTAATAACAACTCTTGTAGCCTATCTATTTGAGGCTTCAAACAGCTTAGGTCTTGTAATATTCAAGAAAATTAAGTGTGATTAGTTAATCTAATATGTGATTAATGAGTTAATAAGATGTGTAGCCAGAGGAGCTTAATTAATGTAATTTATTATAACTTTAGCCTTATAAGTGGGTTTGAATCAATAGTGGGCTACCCGAGCATGGAAAGAAAAAGAAAAAGTAAAGGAATACCCTCTATGTCACATGTCGTGGCATGTGGTCAATCTACCATAGTGCATAGGGGCATATTTAAATGCAATGAGCCTCTCTGTGCCATACACCATGACGGAGGGCATCATGTGCTGCAATGCATGGCCAAAATCTTGATTAAATTACTTTATCTTTGTGTGTAAAATCAGAGGAAGAGGAGAAGCGAAAATAAAGAGCTTTGCTAGGGTGTGTACTTTGGGACCCTTGAAGGCAATTTTAAGCTTTCTAATACCCTTGAAGGTAAGTGTGATAAGCTTTCTTCCTTTCTCTTCCTCATTTATGAAGGTTTGAGTTAGAAAGATAATTTCAATTCATAGGAGTTATGGGTCTAATTCTATTGGATAAAATAGATATAATAGGAGTTATTTAAGATAGTTAAACCCTACATTAATGATTTTTCATATAATAGGAGTAGAGCACTTAATGTCTGAAAATCAATATAAATGAGGTAGTTGGGAGAGTTTGATATTCATTAATAGTGGTTTAATGACTTATTAGTGGTAATGTGAGTCATTGAAACCTAATGAACCTATTGGGTATGAATAGGTAGTGATTTGTAAGTTTGATAGAATAGATATGTAGAGTTTGGTATTGATAAATCCTCAAAAATGAGATAATAATGGTATCCTTATGTTATGAATGTAATGAGGTTCATTTTGGCACCATTTAAGCTAGTGAGAAGCTTTGAAAGTTGGTACTGTAAGGGTTAAACTTTTGACCTCTTAAAGATTTGAGGCAATCGGGAGAAACCTAACTTTATATCATTGAATATTAATTGGTTATTGATTGAAAATGAGTTAATTTAGAGTGTGATTTATATTTCAAACTATAGATGTAATTTTGGCAAACGATGAACTTGTGAATGGTTTGATAAATGAAAACCTTTCTCATGCCACCTAATTATGATTTATGAATTTAATTATGGCATGTTATTAAGGTAGAGAATTATGATGTGTAATGTGTTGAGTATGTGGAGTATTTGAATATAAGTACGTAAGTTTATGTGCCATGAATTGATTGTTTGGAATGCATATTTCATGTAAAATGTGTATAGCATGATCGTTGGTAGGAGTTCGCCTAGGGATAGGAGTAGATTGATTTAAATCCATGTGGTATTGACAGTGACTGTCAGAATTGAGAACTTGCTTTAGCACCAACCGATAGAATCAAAAGGTAGCCCATATCCTATAGTTGATTTAGGACTATCCCACTTGTTCTATAAGGGACTCAAACCTAACTAGTCTCTATCAATTCATGGGGAGGCTAGATTAAGGATACGATACTCTATAGTTATTAGTATTGGGGCACACTAGATTATATAAGTGAGTGAGTTAACCCTAACACAGTAGCTCTTCACAAGTGGAAGGCTGGGTTAGTTCGTGAAGGACATAGCCACATGATAGCTACCGGTTTTATATCGAAGGTAACATGAGGTTATAAGGCTAACATTTGATCATGCATATAAATCTGGTCACATGGTTGTTAGTATTGTGGTCTAGCATGTATTAAGGGTACGTGTTAGTAGTATTGTGACCTCATATTGTGCACTGTGATTTAAATTGATATATGTGTTTTTGGGCTCGGTCATATGGTTGTTAGCATTTTGAACTGTGGCCAAGTTCATCATATGTGTTGTAATATTGTGTTTTTATTTTACATTTCTTTATAATTGATATGCAACTGTATAGATTAGATAAAACTTGGTTACTAAGTGGTTGTACTCAACCCTTAATTCTCAATATTTTCAGGACCTAACTCATTAGATCCAGTGTGGGGAAACATTCTGAGGTATAGGATTGTGGTGAAAATACTACTCTCATGCCTCTTTACTCTATTTTTGGTGTTAATGTTGTATAATTGCCAATTAGAATCACATGTCATTATTTTTGTACTACTTGCATTACTATAGTGTACAACTTGTGTGTTTTGTGCTCCGAGTTAGTAAGTTTTTAGTTGTAAACTTGTGGATAGGGCTAAAATATTCATGCAAGTAGGAACATGTGCGTTTTAAACAATTTGAAATGAAAATGATAATTTTGTACATAAATTTTCTCCCCCTTATGTTTTATGAAATTTGAAATTGAGTAGTAATTTTGAAAAATATGTGTTTTTGCTTGCATTTTCGTGTATTACATAGGTTCGCTAAAGTTCATTAAGTGTGGTTGGAGAGTCAGTGTACGTTTTGGCATTGTGGTTGAATTGGGGCACCAAAGTCATGTGCATTATGTAAAAAGTAGTAAAAATGGGTTTTGGTGTCTAACTTTTTGTATAAAATGAATTTGAGTGTGAAACTTGTGCCATTAGTTAAAACAAGGAGAATGCTCCATGTTAACACCAAAACCACCTCAATCAGACGTCAGACGAAGAATTGGTAAGTGTCAGAAGTTTGATCCCACTACTGTCAAAGGACAATAGCTGTTGTTGTCAAATTCGTGCAATGCGCCATGGTACATAGCATAGAGACGAGTGAGCCACAACGCATATGTCTTATACCGTGGCACATGTTGCAAATTTCTACATAAAATACTATTTTGAGTTTTGAAACTCATTATTTTAGGTCCCATGTGATTTTTAAGCTTCCATACTATTTTTTTAAACTCTGAATTGAGCATTTCAAATATTTGCTTGATATTAAAATTTGAATTTTGGGGATCCCATTATAAATGATTTGAGAATTCTTCTCTTTTATGTAATCTTACAAACTTGGTAATCCTTTATGGGTTTAGTCCCTTAATTACCTTAATTTTAGAGTTAATTATGGTTAAGTAAGGAAGATATTATAGATCTACTGTGAGCTTCCTTCGATATCGGTCTCTCTTAACCTTCTCTTTCATTTGCCTACTTTCTACCCCTCAGTAATACATCATGATCTTGCACTGTTTACCTAATATTAATCATCATGTCTCTAAGTTCTTCTAAGAGAACATATCTTTTATTAACTTGAGGCTCATCCGGTTGAAACTCTGGCATACAAGTTCATCCTCAACCGGACATCATGATACTTGAGTACTTCTCAAAGCTTGAGTACCTCTTCTTGTCATTTTTTCCCTCCTAAGGATGAAAGTAAAAGAAAGTTAAGCAAAAAGGAAGTAATGAACATATATAAGTTGCCAAATGCTAGGATCAATGCAAGAAAGAAACACAATGACTAGATCTCAAAATGCGAGAAACTACTACCAACTAATTGCAATGCCCTCACTAACATTACCATACAATTCTCCACTCAATCTACTAATCAATTCAAAACCTTTTTTTTTTTTGAAAACTCTTGGATCCTAATATAAAACTTTTGAAAATCTCTTTATAAAAACCATTTATGTTATTCAAAATAGCATACAATAGAAGTACAAGACATAAATACATCAAAAAGCAATCTAAAACATCACAACTTACACAAAAATAGGCCATGCACCATGGCATGTGGCACAGGGATCTTAGCTGCATGCTCTGTGCCATACACCATGGCATGTTGTCCATTGTTGACACATGCGTCATTATGCACCTACCAAATTTTGCTGTTAAAAGATAGTTTTTAGTAAAAATTTCAAATGTGTGTCGATTTTGCATTTGGTATCCAATTAGGGTGATTCAAGTGCCTACACAAAGGTTGTTTCAAAATCTAACCAATGACTCTAGTTTTGTTTAAATTCAATATCCTATTTAAAAATTAGACACTTAAGGGAATTTTGACTGTTCTAAGTTAAAATTTGCCACTTAAGCATCACCAAATGAAACCGCAAGTCATTGGCCACTTTTAGAGCCTTGACCACAGTCAAATAGACAAATAACACTTGATTAAATAGTTATATAAACAATATAACATACATACACATATTCGGTTAGTAAATTGCCCATAACACAACTTGAGCAAATTCTCATTTTTCATTTTCTTTCCATTAGTCTAGTTAAAACTTACACATACATCACCTATTTGTACCCACACATATACTCCCATCTATTTACTAGCCCATATGGCCATTTTCATTATATATACACATATACACAATAGGCTAGGGAGCTAAAATTACCAAACACACAATAGTCACAACATTATGCACATGCAACAAATCATATGGCAACTTATTACTACTCATATACAAATCCATTACACTAATTCTTATAAGGATTTATTGAGAAAAAATCATAGTTCTCAGCTAGAGTCTTTCTCTTTAGCACCACTACTACCAAAACTTAAAAAAAGTAAATAACTACGGGTGAGATCAAAATTTTAGTAACTAATATAACTCATTTAAGGTCTATTAACACAAATAACTAAACCAAAGTAACAAAATCAAAGTAATAACACACACACACACACACACACACACACACACACACACACATTGTATCAAAATATATAGAATTTCCTTTTTCAAAAAATATTTCCGCATAATTTCCAACAATAGCATGATCAATTGCATATTGACCCGATTATACTTTTAATGGTAGAAACACCCAGCCAAAGATAATCTATCTCAATTATAGACTATGGTTTCTCTCATCTCACACACTTGCAATAGCGGCATTGTTGATTATTAACTGCACCCTAATGGACACTAAAGAGTTGCCAAACTACTCAGATGTCCTAGGTAATAGTCGCAACATAATATCGTATCAGATTGCCTATGGTTCCAACCCGTATAATGCTGTACCGAATTACCTATGGTTCCAACCTATATAATGCTGCACTGGATGTCCCATGGTGCTAGCCTGACTATATGAATTTGTTCACTCCTATCTCCACACACACATATCCACACATACCTTGGGTGAACTCCTACCCCCTTACGATCATGCTTTTCACAAGTATTTCATTATTTTTCCACAATTTATACCACACACAAACACACACACATTAATATAAATCAATCTAAACCAATGATTGTTGAACTCCCATTTGACAAATCAATTTCATGCTAAAACTTGTTTACAATGCAAAATCATGCATAAAAACTAACAAAACCATGATTTCACAATTATACAATTACTTCTATACAGTTATAATAGTTAATAAATATCATAAACTATATAGTTAACTCAACCCTTCTATTTGTAAGAAAAGGTTACCTGTGTTTTCCTCAACTGTACTCACTTTCTCTTGCTACACAACTTGTTACACATAAAAATCTACACAATTGAGGCACTCAAAGTCAATTTCATCATTGACAAAAAGTGCCAACTATAGCAATCAAGCACCTAATCACTACCATTTCTCTTATTCATACTCATTCATATGTATTATGACCAATTACTACTCAACACAAGCACTAACCTTTACCTAGTCAAATTTCTCTCATTACTCTCTTTCTAAACTAGGTTAAATTGAACCTAAAGTTTTAAAGTTTTATCATTTCAACTCAAACTAGTCACAAAGTACTAGTTTAGTCCAAGAGAACCTTTCTATTACTATAGGGTAAGAAATCAACTCTTTAAAACTTCTGAATTCAATTTCTCAATAGTTAAAACTAAGAGAAAATGAGGTAAAATTAGATATTAAGGCAATACAAGACTTATTTGATAAGTAAGAGGTCGAAAATGTCATCCTTGGTCCTAAGAACTAAAGCCCTAGCAAAGATCCCATTCTTCTCCATGCCTGAATCCTATTTTCTTTATTTCCTTTCTGTTTTTCACGAGTAGAGATGTCCTTATTCACCAAATTTTTGCACCATGCGCCATAATGCATTTAGTTTCAGCCACGGCGCATGGCATAGTAAGAGAAATCCTTATTATACTCACACGCTCTACCTTGCAATGCCATCCTTTTACTCTTATCCATTCACATAATATCTCAATGAGTCAGTACAACACTCCACCATCTACAATCCTAATCTCACATTAAATTACTAATTTAATTCTTAATCAGTATTAATGCAAAAATCAAAAAATTAGGATGTTACAGTATTGTCTCATAAAAAGGATCATCCTCAATATTCATATCTTCATTACCTTGAGCTTCATCATCATTAATTTTTTTATTTGATAAAAGTAATGGACTAATTCTTTTTTGTAGGATTAGAAAAAAATAACACTTGTTGAGCTTGCTAAACTAAAATAAAAGGTTCATTTCTATGCCCAACTTTTAATAGATCCACTTGAGTAAATCACAACTCATTAATTCACAATCCTCCATTATTGTTTATCGACCAACATCTAAAGACAAGCACCCTAAACATAGAGTAATCCAAATCCCATACATGTTCAATAACACCAAAGTATGACATTTTTGCATATATAAGGTTGATGTCATTTACATTGGATACATGTAAGGCACCAACAACAAGCATTACTCTACGATTCTACATTATGATATAATCATCTTGTTCTTTGGTACAAAGTATGTAATAGTTGATTACATAAGCAATGTGAGATAAAACATGCAATGTAAACTTAGTACTTTGGCCAACTATCTCAATTTTTTGGAAACCTTATTAGGATTCTTCCCTGGCTATTCAAGGATGCGACTTTTAAACCACTTTACAAAGTACCAATTATGTTCTTTTGTTACTAAATTCTCATTTCTAATACCAAACATATCTTTGAGTTTATCCTTGTGTTCTCCCATAAATGACTAAACTTCTTCAATGTTATGCAAAACATATAGGTGAGCTTGTTCACATTCAGTTGCTAAGATGCTAATTACTTTATTTTTTTATTATTCCTTTCCTTAATCTTCATCCATCATGATGAGACTTTGGAAGCCCTATAGCATCATGTTGGATAGATAGTTTGTATACAATTCAACTACTTCTTCAACTATGTATCATTCAATAATACAATCCTTAGGTCAATATCTATTTTTCATATAGCCTTTTAATATTTTCATGTAATGCTCAATCAAGTACATCCATCTTAAATAAGCTGAGTCATGCATTTGAACTTTTTTGACCAAGTAAATAGTTAGATGAACCATGATGTTAAAGACAGAAGGCGAGAAATATATTTCAAGTTCACACAGGGTCAAAACAATTTGCCTTTACAATTTTGGCAACTTTGCAAGATTAATCACTTTATTACAAATCATAGAAATTAGTGATTGTGCCTTGCACTTTCTTGGGCAAACTTGATCCAATACCAATTGCTAAGAAATTTTGTATGAGCACATAACAATAATGAGATTTAAGACCGTGTAACTTCAAGTCCTTTATTGATACAACGGTCTTTAAATTTGAAGAGTATCCTTTTAGAACTTTAACATTATGGAGGAACTTTACGCTGCTTATTTGTGTGATATGATGTTGGAGTAATGACACCCTAATTGTGTGTGATAAGGGGAAACAATAGTCTATAAGTGAGATAAAACACCTTTGATCGGGTGATTCTACCATTAAATGTGTGCTCAGATCAGTGTGTGTGTAATTGGTAGCAAAACTTTTAGTTTTAGTCGGGGTGATATGGAGGATTGAATGGTAGAATGATCATGTTAGTGTGTGAAAATGGTTTTTACAAAAATGGATATGTACTTATATAGATATATTCATATATTTATAAGTTTTACTTGTTTACAATTATTGTTATTAATTGATAGATGTGAAGTTATTCTATTACTGAGATATTTATTTCACCCCGTGATTAAATTTTTACAGATTCTAATAGTAAGCAAGGCAATGGAAAAGATTTGAGTCTGGCATAGTTATGGTGCTACTGTTGTGCTTCAAGAGTTTCTATAATGAATATGTTATATTGTATATATTAATGAATTAAGTTGCAATAGGAAATGTGCATATAATATTTGATGTAGTGGCATAAGTTTTGTGGGCATCTTAGCCCTAATGTGTGGTAATGTGTGACATGTGGTGAACAGTGATATAGAGAGCTTTGAGAAGTAAGCTTGGGGAAGAACATGAGCTAACCGTGAGCTAAAGGAAGAAGTACCATGGGCTAAAAAGCTAAACAAACTAAGCATGGAGTTGGAAGAAGATAAGTGAAGGAGCTTGTAGTGAAGCATGTCACGGAGACAAGGACAACATATTTAGTCAAAAGAAATAAATATTTGAAAAAAAAAAGAAAATAAATGTGCCTAGGTGGCTATTGGTCCTTGAGCATTACCATCTCTGTATTCTAATTTTAAAATTAAAAGATTGAGGCAGTAATTCTTGAGGACCAGTCGCCACCTCTATCAAATAATTTTTGTTTTGACCAACTTTTTTTGAACTCAAAATTAAATATGAAATATTAACTTTGGTAAAATATTTAAAACAAATTAGAAAGAAGTGGCATTTCTAGGTCTAACAAACGCCACCTCTACCAAATTATTTAATGATATTTAATTTTTATAAATATTAACTTACTTAATCAGTAATTATTATATTAGTAATTGTTCAAATTTTATTAATTATCAATTATTAATTAAATACTCATAAGCTGAGAAGTGGTGTTTCCGCACCCAAAAAATGCTACCTCTTTGACTTTAATTATTAAATAATAATACATATTAATTATTAATACTAAATAAATATAATACTAATTAAATAATTATAATAAAATAATTATTTAATCTAATCCAACATAATACTTAATTAATAATAAAGTAGAGATGTGGCATTTCCTCAACTTTTAATTATTAAGCAATAATATATATTAACAATTAATACTAATTAAATAATTATAATAACATAATTATTTAATGTAATAAAACAAAATACTTAATTAATATTAAAGTACAGAGGTATCACTCTGCTTTTAATAAGTAATAATATATTTAACATTAATACTAATTAAATAATTATAATAAAATAATTATTTAATATGATAAAATAAAATACTTAAATAATAGAGTTAAAATATATTTTTATTCCTGTACTAATAAGTGAGATATTTTTTCTCTAAACTATTTTTTAGAGGAGAAAAAATCCCTCTCCATTAAAAGGATAACTAATGAAAGGAAATTTTTGCTCCTCTAAAAAGTGATTTAAGAAAAAAATACCCTAATTATTTGTACGGGGTGCCTAGTGCTCCTCAAATAAAAGTATTGGAAGAAAAATATACTTTAACCTAAATAATAACAGTGTAGATAGGTGGTATTTTCACTCTCAGGAAATGCCACATCTCTAATTTTAATTATTAAGTAATAGTATATATTAACTACTAATACTAATTAAATAATTATAATAAAATAATTTGTTAATCTAATTAAACAAAATACTTAATTAATAACATAACAGAGAAGTGGTGTGTCCACCTTTAGGAAACACTTCCTCTCTACTATAATTATTAAGTAATAATATATATTAACTATTAATACTAATTATATTAGAAAATAAAATATTTTCTCATTCTCAAATTATAAGATACTCTTAAATAAAATTTCATGTGCTAAAAAAGCTCATTAAATATATCTAACCTTATTTTTTCAAGATAAAAATATAAATTTTTAAAAATGTCTCATTTACGAAAGAACATCGAAGAGAAAGAATATATAAAAATGGTAGTATTAAAAAAGTATTATTAATAAAATTTTATATTTATTGAAGTGTCTTATATTTGGAATACTGAATCTTTTCTAAAAGTATCTTATAATTTAAAATGAAAGAAGTAATTAATTAATAACAAAGTAGAGAGGTGACGTTTTCGCCCTTAGGGAAACACCATCTTTCAGCTTATAACTATTAAATAATAATAATATCATTTAATATTTACTACTAACTTAATTTTAAAAATAACGCTAATTAATTATTAATAAAATATATTTAAAAGTAGAAAATAATAAGTTATATGGAGTAAGAAGACGTAGGCGCAGGATAACGAGAAGGACAGGTACGCAATTAGTGAATTTAAAAGCACATAGGTGGCATTTGTCTGTGTTTTAAATTTACAATTTTATATTTTATTATACACACGCACACTTTAAATCACTCAGGTGGCATTTTTTAAGACGGGAAATGCCGCCTGACTTATTTTAATATTTTTATATACAATAATTAATAATTAAGTTGCTTAATTTAATAATAACACTAATTAATTAGTAAAAATTATCATTATTATATTTCTTCTTCTTATATATAGAAAATAGTTCTTATTAATTATAATAATACTCAACATCATTATATTAATTATTGAAAATTATATATATTTAATTTTTGTAAACAATTTAGGTGGCATTTTGTTGCTGAATGACACTTAATTGTTGGGTAACAAGAAGTTGTGGCATTTCTAGTAAAAAAACTCCACCTGTTGTTATTTTACTAAAATTTTAAATGAAAAAATAATTTATAAGCAGTGATATCTAATATAAAAAACACCACATAAGATCTATGACTTTAATATTAATAATGTTTTATTTTTTATTGTAACAAAATGTATGTTACTAAATTCTATTTTTGTAGTAGTGATTAGCATTCATTCAAGTAATTTTAGTTGTATAAATTACTTTTTTTTCATTTGAATTTTATTTTTCTGGCAATAGTAATTAATTACCCAGAATTCAACTTAAAATAACCCCTCAATTGCTCAATGGAGAAAATGACTTAGCGTTAAACCATGTTACATTAAGTCAATCTTCGAGACATTCAAATTACAAACATCCGCAGATTTGCGCTATTAATTTGCATCTTGCCTTCGCCTTCTTCGCTCGCAGTTTCACATTCAAATTTGTTTCATTGCTGGAGGAGGGTTCGCGTTGCAAGATTCGTCGGTCGCAGTTAAGCGTTGGTTCGCCTCGTTTGATTCCCAAACATCTCATGATGGGTTAGGAATTAGTTGTGGGTAAATAAGTATTTGCACACTAATAACAATTTACACTCCACTCTTAAGAGATTTAGTTTTAATTTTTGAATTTCATAAAATTTATTTATAAATAAATTTGTTGTACTGGACCTATTCATTATTTTTCTTATTTCAAGTTACTTTCGAGAACCATGGTAAATTCTTTAAATGTCATGATTAACGGCCGTTAGTTTTAACTTGTCTCATGAACAAAAAATCACCTATTTTTGAAAAAACAATTATTTTGTGAGTTTTTATGATATTTATTTAAATTTTTAAAAATAATCAAAATATTAAAAAAAAGTAAGAGAGAGTGTTTGGAAGAGACTAGATACACAAAAATATCATATAATTTTAACATAATATAATAATAAATTATTTTTATAAAATAAAAATTAATGAAAATATCATAAAATTTAAAAATAACTAACTAATAATCACTTTTTTTTTATTGCAGCTAAACATAAAATAATATCCGCCTTTTATAAAATCTCTACAAAATAAAAATCTCTTTTTATGAAATATTTAAATTATCTAAAAACAATTTATTTTTTAATCTTAAACAAACAAGCCCTAAAATGCCTGTTGGAATTAATTGCTAAAATTAGGAGTGACACTTTTAATTGGGAGTGATTAAAATGCATATTAAGGGGTTTTTTTTTTCAGCCTTTCATAGTTAAAACTGATTGCTAAATTTGGAAGCTTTTCACTCGGATTTTTTTTTTATAAAAAATTTGTAACACTTTTTTTAATGAACAGAACCAATTTTTTGGGAGTAATTTTCAAATTTTGGAGCCATTACTTATATAATTTTATAAGCAATATATTTACTACTTGTAATTTTCCCTGTTCACCAATATATATATATATATAAGTCCTTTCACTAATATTGAATCAAATTTAATGAAAGTCCTTGAATTGAACTCATCACCTTTCAATTCTTTCTCCCGTTCAGATTCAAGTATTTCTTTATAACTATTTTATTTTTTAAACGAAGTATTAATATCAAAAATCAATAATTAAGAATAAATAAAAATCAAATCCATCATTATCATTCTTCAAGGCTTCTGCATTCTGTCAAACGGCTACTTTTTTACTTTGGCCAGACAAACAGGCAACGGCTACTTCTTTTCCCTATCTAAATTCTCATCTGAACTGTAGCGGTCTGGAGATTAAAAAGGTTTCCGGGGAAAACCCATTTTCTGGAAAAGTATTCTCGGGAGTACTCAGTTTTAGCAGCTAGGAAAGGAAATCCGAGCACACAGTAGCTACCGATCTCTTGCTCAGGTAAGTACTCGCATCTCACTGTATTGATAATTTTGTTTGCCGAGGAAATAGACGAATTAGGGAAAGCACAACTCAAATTTATGACCAAGAAATTAAAAGCTCACTCTAGATTTACCCAAAGGTTCTTGAAAATTCTCTTTCCTTTTCATGTTGTGGTTGGCTAATGATATCTCAATGCTGATTCGACTGTCTGAATGCTGTTTCTCATTTTGTTTCTTGAGTTATGTATTTCGTTCCAGTTTTGTTCAGCCGAGTTTCGTCCTTCATAATTGTAACTTTAGTTCGCTTACGATTAATAGTAGAAATCTCTTATTTTGAAATTGAATATACTTTAATTTCAATCTTCTTAAATGCCTAATGTTAAATGATATTGTGTATGTCAGCATTTGTGTGCTAATAGAAATTGTTTGAAGTGATTATATAGTCTCTAGAATCAAAAGGTTGTGCTGAACTTCAAATTCCTTATCCTTTTCACTTAAGCGCTCTCGCTCCATCATTTCATTTTGTTGGCTTCGTTGAGTTTAAGGTCCTCAGATTCCTCATTTTGTTGGTTTCCTCATACATTTCATATCGTGCATCGAATTCAAAATTATTAACTTTGCTGCAATTGATTCGATTGCTTTCTCTTACTTTCTTTGGCTTTACGCTGTTGAAAATTTTGTGTGATACAGAGTCCATATTTTTGTAAAGAGAAATAAGATAGAAGACAAGGTCTTTCAATGTAGTCATTTTATAAATATGCTTCTCCGTGCAGCATTGATGGCTTTGGTTTTGTCTGTGAAACAAACCTAATGATCCATAGGTTTCTTTGTTTTAGAAATCTGTTTTCTTTTTAGTTTGCTCGATGTACAACACTAGATTCTGCCATCACCTCCGCATATAGATATTCACTATAACTATTCTATTATATTTGTGATTTACTGATCTTTTTTACATTTGTTAATCAAACTTGGTTTGCTAACTTATAAATATTTATAGCACATCCTATTGCTTAGAGTAAATAATTAAAGCTGGAGATTGATACTCCCACGTGTTTGTGATTAAATGATCATTTTTGGATATGTTTGATCAAACTTAGTTTGCTAACTTAGAAATATTTTTAGCACATTCTTATGCTTCGACTAAATAAAGTTAGCATAATTTGATGATAATAATTGTCCTTACCTGGATAGCTTAGGAACTGGAATAGTTCCTGTTACAGTTCGTGTTGCCTTTTGCTATTGAAAACAATCTAAGAGAGTAGATACAACAAAAATTGAGTTCAACTGAACCTTGATTTGATGGTTTTTTTGTTTTTTATCAGGTTGCTGCATTATCAAGCAAGTAACGGCAAAATGAATATATCATGCGTTTTTCTCTTCTCTTTTGACGGGTAAACTTAAGAACACGAGTTGAACTTGGGATCTCAAGTATCAAATGAGGAATTGATTTTTCTTCCACCCTAAAAGTTGTCCTGTTATTAAAAAAAAAAAAAAGGACATGAATTTGATTTTCTATCATTAAGAACAGGTGGCTATCATTTGTGCAAGAATATGATTATGAACGGCCTGTGACTTCTATTCAGCATTGATTTTCATCTTATCACTTGTTATACTCATTTTGATCTCGGTGCTAACCTTAGAAATTTTTTTTTTTGGTCTCAATCCATCTTGCAGTGTTAGAGCAGGCAATTAGAGATGCACAGATTACAAAATGCAACCAGAGCATATATGACATGTCACACTCACATATTCTAGTAAGTCGGATGGTAATTTTTGTGCTAGTGAGAGTAGTTTCACCAAGACAGTATTGCTTAAATTGTATCTCAATAATCCTAATATGTTTAGCGACATTAATAAGAGGTTTCCCTTTTTATTTTTCTAGTCTCTGACCAAATAAATGGTTGCAGGCTTAAAACCATAGCTTGCTTGATGACATTATTGAGAAGCATGAAAAATAAGGATATGAAAGTCGCACAGCAAAATTTATAGAAGTGTTTTTGATCTATATATTTCTTTTGGAAATATCTTCCCTTTTCTCACGTTTTTCGTTTTTATTTGGGCACTTTCTTTTCTCATTCTTTTTCCCATTTCTTTTCATTTTCTGAAAATTATCTTCATCAATTTTTCGCTATTCGTTTCAATTATACCCCCCTTTATGTTTTGCCATTTTTTAATTGCTTCCCCCCATCATTTTATGGTGTTGGCTCTGTGTTAAGATATTCTAATTCAAAATTGTTGACTTTGCCACAATTAATTCGATTGCATTCTTCTGTTTCTTGTTGATTTTTTTTCTTTTTGGTGTTGATATTATTATTATGTCGGATCTAGATTTTTGTAAACAGACATTTGATTGAAGATAAAGTTTCTTCAATTTTTATTAGCATGACAGAATAGTCTTTTTCTAAATATGCTTCTCAATGTTGCTTAGATGGTTTTTTTTTTTTTTTCCTTTCATTGTGAAATCTAATTTCATCTGTTTTTTTTTTTGGTCTTAGAATTTACCTTCAGTTTGTGCTGCTCATCTCCACATATAGTATTTCTTCTTAACGTTCTTGTTTCTACTTGTTGATCAAAATTGGTTTTAGCGCTCCACGTGTTTGTGTCATGAGATCATTTTTGCATATGTTGATCAAACTTAGTTTGCTAACTTAGAAATATTTATAGCACATCCATATGCTTATAGTAAATAAAGTTAGATGGTAGTCCACATCATAGAGCATAATTTGATGATCATAATTTTATAGCTTAGGAATTAGAGTAGTTTGTGTATTGTTGCAGTTCTTGTCATTGCCTTTTCCTATTGAAAGTTCTCAAAGAGTAGATACAACAATACACTTTGACCAATAAATTATGAAATGAAGCTGAGCCTTTGTTGCATCCATGAGATGATGAGTGATATAGATGCTCTTGGATGTGGGGCTTGATCTTGATGGCTTTCTTGATCAGGTTGGTGCATTATAGAGTAAGTATTCTTATTCTTTCAAACACCAAAATGAATGCAATATATGTTGTGCATTAGAATATATCATGTTTGCTCTTTTCTTTTGACAAGTAAAATCTTTAGAACTTGAGTTCAAACAAAAGATCTCAAGCATCACATGAGGAATTGATTTTTTCTTTTTTTTCCCCCTTAAAATTTGTTTTGTTTTAACAAAAATGGACGTGGATTTGTTTTCGCTTATAAGAATGGATGGCTACTAAAAGAAGTCTCCAAGTAAAGTTTTAAATGAAAACCTAAATGAAGTTGGTGGTGCTTGAGCAACCCCAGGTAACCCTAGGCAAGGACTGGGCAAGTAGTTGTTGCACCTAGGACACCTCAAGTAAGGTCTGAGCCATGAACTTACACCTATAGGCAACCTCTGGTAAGTTTGGGCAAGTTGATTTAGCTACCTTGCAACCCGTGATAAGGTTTTGTGTAAGACTATGGTGAAGTGATATGTCGCTTACACTCAAAATAGCTAAGTTAATAGTAATATAGTACTAGTAGCAATCTAGGTCATTCTTCCCTATGGAGGCTGACTAAGGTTAATTAAGGCTAAACTAGTGAACTAAACTAAGTAAGAGTTGATAGATTTTATAACTAATTAAAATAAGCGAATAGATTTTAACTAGTGAAATGGAAATGTAAGTGTTTAAACTTTTCTAAAGTAGAGTTAGTCCTAGGGCCGTTTTGACTAAGCCATTTCACACATGAGAAGTAGAGTGTTTCATGCGTGATTTGTCACCTAGAATGGCTTGGGTTTTGTATAATATCAAGCGTGAAATCATTATGCACTCAAGCAAGATTTTGAACATATATCATGCAAGAGTACAATTTGAACATGGCTTGAAATGAAATAAGATTCAATTTGGTAAGATGTGTTCAAAGGTACTGATGCAAAATCACACGTGAAATGGCTCTTGAAAAAAATGCAATGAAACATAACTTAATAAATCTTGCATGCAGACTAAAGGCTTGCTTGCTGATTTGGAGCTCCACGTGTTTGTGTCATGAGATCATTTTTGCATATGTTGATCAAACTTAGTTTGCTAACTTAGAAATATTTATAGCACATCCATATGCTTATAGTAAATAAAGTTAGATGGTAGTCCACATCATAGAGCATAATTTGATGATCATAATTTTATAGCTTAGGAATTAAAGTAGTTTGTGTATTGTTGCAGTTCTTGTCATTGCCTTTTCCTATTGAAAGTTCTCAAAGAGTAGATACAACAATACACTTTGACCAATAAATTATGAAATGAAGCTGAGCCTTTGTTGCATCCATGAGATGATGAGTGATATAGATGCTCTTGGATGTGGGGCTTGATCTTGATGGCTTTCTTGATCAGGTTGGTGCATTATAGAGTAAGTATTCTTATTCTTTCAAACACCAAAATGAATGCAATATATGTTGTGCATTAGAATATATCATGTTTGCTCTTTTCTTTTGACAAGTAAAATCTTTAGAACTTGAGTTCAAACAAAAGATCTCAAGCATCACATGAGGAATTGATTTTTTCTTTTTTTTCCCCCTTAAAATTTGTTTTGTTTTAACAAAAATGGACGTGGATTTGTTTTCGCTTATAAGAATGGATGGCTACTAAAAGAAGTCTCCAAGTAAAGTTTTAAATGAAAACCTAAATGAAGTTGGTGGTGCTTGAGCAACCCCAGGTAACCCTAGGCAAGGACTGGGCAAGTAGTTGTTGCACCTAGGACACCTCAAGTAAGGTCTGAGCCATGAACTTACACCTATAGGCAACCTCTGGTAAGTTTGGGCAAGTTGATTTAGCTACCTTGCAACCCGTGATAAGGTTTTGTGTAAGACTATGGTGAAGTGATATGTCGCTTACACTCAAAATAGCTAAGTTAATAGTAATATAGTACTAGTAGCAATCTAGGTCATTCTTCCCTATGGAGGCTGACTAAGGTTAATTAAGGCTAAACTAGTGAACTAAACTAAGTAAGAGTTGATAGATTTTATAACTAATTAAAATAAGCGAATAGATTTTAACTAGTGAAATGGAAATGTAAGTGTTTAAACTTTTCTAAAGTAGAGTTAGTCCTAGGGCCGTTTTGACTAAGCCATTTCACACATGAGAAGTAGAGTGTTTCATGCGTGATTTGTCACCTAGAATGGCTTGGGTTTTGTATAATATCAAGCGTGAAATCATTATGCACTCAAGCAAGATTTTGAACATATATCATGCAAGAGTACAATTTGAACATGGCTTGAAATGAAATAAGATTCAATTTGGTAAGATGTGTTCAAAGGTACTGATGCAAAATCACACGTGAAATGGCTCTTGAAAAAAATGCAATGAAACATAACTTAATAAATCTTGCATGCAGACTAAAGGCTTGCTTGCTGATTTGGAACACAGAAGTAATGTCAAGGCATCACACAAACATAAGTGACAAATCATTCGTGGATCACTTTTTGATTTTTACATGAAACATCAATTGGTGTGCCTAACTTGCCAAATATCATAAGTGACCCTATAGAATCACGTGTGATTTTATAGTTCGAGAAAACTCAACTTCTATGAACCATTATAAGCTAGAATGACATAACTTGCAAGTTGATGTGCATAAATGAGACTTAGGAGCTAAAGATGATGCATTCATTTATTGAATCTAAGAGAATTTAAATAACTTATCCTATAGTTCTTCATCTTCTCTTGATTCTTCATGTTCTTGAAATTTTGTCTTCATTCATGATTCTTTATTTATCTACACACATAACAAATACCTCTTCTCATAGTTTTATAATCATCAAAACATATGATCTAACAATCTTCCCCTTTTTGAAGATGACAAAAACCTTAAGATCAAGATTTTTAGTTCTGCTCAATAAAAAGATCCCTCTTAATCAGATATTAAAGTAAAAAGATTAAAAGTATAGAAATATTAAATTTGCAATCAACAATTTTAAGACATAAATGAGTAACTTAGAATATTTCATTTATAAAAGATATAATACATCAATTGACAAAACAATTTATCGATGAAAAATATAAAACCTTAAGTATAGGTTCTTCTTCCTAAGCCTATGTTTTAATACAACTTCCCCTTAAGTCTAGCCTATCTCTCTAGTATATCTTTTTTCCTTTTGGCATCATCAAAAAGATGCTAGCCTTCTTAAGAGAGAGGACGCTTGATGTTTGAGATGGGCTTTTAGAATTTCTCTATCCGATAGAGAATCTGGATTAAGGGGTTGAGTAGATTTATTACCTAAGTGAAAGAGTCATTTGGATCCACAGATGGAATAGGATCTAGTATAGTAGTTGAGCCATCAGTAGCTCAAGGAGAATCTTGAGGAAGCTCAAGATTAGTGTCTTCAATTTGACCTTCAGTAGTTAAAGGGACTAGAGTTTGTTGATGCTGATCTTTAGTTCCTTGGTCCTTTAGTGCTTTAACAATTGTTTCCTCAAAAGGTTGGCGAAGGGAAGTTTTGGTTTGTTTATGTTTTGCTATGGATTGTTATGCTAAGGGATGAATAGGCTTGGAAGTGTCTTGATGGCTTTAGGATTCAGTTTGGGAATCTATATGTTGAGCTAAATCCTAGGGCTAAATTTCTAGCCTTAGTCACGTTAGGAGATAAGGTTTTCTTGTTCTTGAGAGGAAGGGTCAACTGGGAAAGGTATGTGAAAATGAGGTTGATTAGATTAGGTTTTGGAAGTTGAGGAAGTGTCAACCATGTGAACTGAATCTTCTCTGAATCTTAATGGTCTAGCCTCATCTTCTTGCCTTAGACTTCTCCTTGAGCCTTAAAGATCCCAAGGTGATCCCAAGATGATGTATGATTCTAACCAATTTACTATTTAAGTACAACATCATATCATTAAGTTCCTTTATATTATTTTTGAGATGCACCACCGCTTGATCAATTTTACCTTCAATGCCATTGAGAATGTTGTAGAGGAAGGAATTTGACATATTGCTTGGTGGAGTGGCCATATATGGTAGTGGTTTAGAGGAACCAGCTACTTCAAAAGTTCCAACATCAGCTTTCTTTTTCATTTTGCCTTTCTTTCTTGCTGCAGTAGGATTATCAACTTCATCTTCTTCTTGAGGAACAAAATTGTTCCCATCCAATTAGAACTTGAAGAGAGCAATGTCTCTAAATTCTTCAGGCTTTAGTATTGTCCCTTCAGTATACTTGACCTAAAATCTCCTTAAAATAGAAGGTATTACATTTAGAAAATAGAGATTTCTATCTTTCTTCTCCTTTTGCATTTTTGAGTCCACTTTTAAAGCATATAACATCTTGGTCAATATATAGTAGTAGATATTAACCTTTTGCTTCTTGATCAGTCTAGTCAGCAACTCACTCTCAAACTCTTTGCAAGTGTTAATAAAGGCAGTCCTCTTGTTGACAAAGAACCTTACATATATGCCAGCATTTTATGCTTAAAAGGGAAAGTTCTGAAGATAAAATTAAGCCAGCATTTGGAACTTCTTCTATCATCATGATTACTTTGTATTTATCTTTATTTAAGTGAAATCTAGGAGCATTCCTCTGAGTTGCTTGATCATATTCTTGAAGCTCTAGTCCTCTTGCTTCTATCCCTAAGATGTGCCCCAAACTTTTAGTTGAAGTATATGGGATAGCCTCTTACATTGGCTTTGTACATCTTCTTTTACTTGTCCCAGCCAAAGCTTGCATAAAAAGCCTTCACCACTTTTGTTGAGTAGCTTATGTTGAGCTCCATCAGGCCTTTGTAGTCACTCAAATATTCATATAGATCAAAGTTGTGAGATTTGATAAAAGAATCATATTTGGTGCAATGATCACCACCATTACTAAGGAGAAGAACTTATTATTGAAGCGACTTTGATTTTTAGAACTTAGAAGCTTTCCTTCACATATGCTTGCTTCAAAGAAATTACTAGGAGGCACATTGCGGTATCCTA